CCCACACCCCCCCCCCTAACACCCCTTAACCCATCCCCACCATCATTACCCCACCCCCCCCCCCACCCCAACCCCTCCATTATTTACCATTCCCTAACCTCTCTCCTACATCCCCCACCCCCCAATAACCCACCATACCAACACACCCCCCATAAACCCCTATATTTAATATACTCCAATCACCAACATCACCCCCAACATAAATTTAAACCCCAACCTCTCTAACATAAAATAATTCAACCTCCACTCCGCCTCATCTACTTTCCCACACTACCACCCCAACCCCCCACACACACCCCACCCACCCCCCCCTCCATCTAACACCCAAATTCTCCTTATAATTACAACCAATACTCCTATATCCCCCCTATCTCACCCCCCCATTAAACAAATATCACACAACCACCACAACCCCCACCCCATAACAAACCCCACCCATCATCCCTAAACATAACACACCAAACCCCCTATTACCATCATACCCCCCACCCCCCAACATACACACCCCCCCCCCCCTCCACCCCACCCCTCCCCCCCACTACATACTCCCCCACCCCCACACCATCCCCTCCCCCTCCCCCAATCCTAACCCCCTATTCATCCCCCCAAAATTCCCTCCTCCTAACAACACTCATCCCAACCCCCCCCCCCCCACCTTCACCACCCATCCCCCCCCCATCTTTCCATCTCCTCCCACTTCCCCCATCCCCAAACCCCCTATCTTCCTATCTACACTCACCCACACCTACTACATCCACTCCATCCCTCACCCCTCCCATCCTACCACCATTCCCAAATATAAAAACTCTACTTTAAAACCAAAACCTAAACCTCACACCCCCCCAACCCCCACATACCCCACCACCCCCACCCCCCCACCACAATCCCACCATATCAATATACATCCACCCCAACCCTATCCATTTTAACAACATAAATTCAAAAACATATAACCCCCCCCACCACCCTACCCCAACAACATACACACATTCACCCCCCACCCCAAATAAAACCATTACCCCACCAAAACACACCAACCACCCCACACATCACCCCACCACCCACCAACCCTTACCACCAACAAATTAAACCCACCCCCATTCCCCCACAAATACCACCCCCATATCAAACTTACACAAACCCTACCCACCTCCCACCATCTAAATCCCACCCCCACACCCCAACTCACTTCATACAAACACCACTCCAATAACTATCTCTAAACATCCACAATCTTATTATCTCCCTCCACACCCCCTACTCACCCACTACCCTACTCCTACCACCCCTCACTTCATCCCAACATCCCCCCCCACACCTCTACCCTCCCCCCCCCCCCCCCCCACAACCATACCTCTACTTCCCCCACCAATCCCCCCCCTACCACCCCCCCCCCCCCAAACCCCCTCCACCCCTCCAATCTCCCTCACAACCCCCTACCCCTTATCATATTTACCCCCATCACCCACACCTCATTATAAATACCCCCCCCCCCCTATACTTCCACCCCCCTCTCATTCTTCTCTCATCACCATACCCCACAACCCCACATCCCCCCTCCACCCCACACATTCCAACCCATAAACCCAACCCCGCTCCCACCCCCCCACACCCTCTCCCCCCCCCCCCCCCCATCCCCCCTCTCATCCTCTCATCTCACCATCAAATACTACCCTTTATCACATACCCTAAAAAAACCATCCCATACCCTCCCCCCACCTAAATCTTCTCCTCCTTAACCATCTCCCCCCCCCACCCCCACCTAAACCCCCCCCAACCCCACCCACACTCCCCCCTACATACATACTCTTCTCTCTCCCCTCCCTCTCTCCTCCCCCCATCTCTCCCCCCCACTTCTCATCTACTCTCATACCCCCTACTTTCACTACTACACTCCTCTCCTCAACCCTCACATTCCTCCCCCACTCTCACCTCTCTCTCCCCCCTCTCTCCCCATACTCTTCCCTTCCCCCCACCTCCTCTCTCTTCCCCCCCTCTTCTCAACAATCCCACTACTCACTACATCTCTCTCTCACTCTACTACCACCTCCCTTATTCTCACCCCCTCTACTATACCAATCCTCTTCACTAACTCCTCTTCATCATTACTACCTCTCTCCCTCCCCCCCCTTCTTCTCTCTCACTCTACTTCTCCCCCAATCTCCCACCCCTCTCTCCTCTCTCATCTCTCTCCTCAACCACTCTCATCACTCTCCCACCTCTCTCCATCCTCCATCACATCCCCCCACACTCATCTCCCCCCCCATCTCATCCACATCTCTCACACATCCCCCTACTCTCTTCTCTCTCCCCTTCATCTCTCTACACACTCACCATCACCCTCCCCACCCCCCCCATAAATCACCACCCCCCACCCCACCAACCACCCCCCCACACCCCTCACATACACCCCAGCCCCATACCCACAAACCCCACCAATCCCACAACCTAAATACTAACAACTCCATATCCCATCCTCAAACACACACCCTTATCCACCCCCCCCCTACCCACTCCCCCCCACCAAATATTCCCCCCTACATCCCCCCCCCTCAATATTTCCAAACCCCCTATCCCCCCCCACCCTATCTCTAAATCCCCCCCAACCCTCACCTCCTCCCCTTCAATATTCATCTTTCTCCCTTTACCACACTACCCTCCCTACCCACATACAACCCCCCAACTTACTCCACCTCCCCCCCCCAAAACCCCCCAACCTTCCATATCATCCACCCCCCCAACATTAACCCCCCCACACAAACACCCCACCCCCTATATCCCCTCTCTCTCCCCACACCACACAAAACCACACCCCTAACAAATAATAATACTCTCTCACAACACAAAACGAACACACACCCACCCCCCTAAAACCCCCCCTACCCCCCAAAATTACACCCCCCCACCATCCCATTCCTCCCTCTTCTTACACCTCCACACTCACTATCCCCCCCCCCCAAAAACACCCCCCCACCAACCTTCCACTACCCCCCCCCCCTCCAACACCCCTACTCAATCATCCTTTACCCCCCTCTAACAATTACTTAATATCAACCCCTATATTAAAACAACACAAAAACCCCCCCAACAACCACAAACCTCTATCATAAAATCAACCATCACCTCCCACAAATCTCCTACCCCCACCCCCCTTCCCACCCCCTCACTATCCAAACCCACATACCCCCCCCCTCCCCCCACTCACACAACTACACCAAACACCCCCCCCCTCCCACACTCTCAACACCAACCAATCCCCCCCCCATCAAAACCAAAACCTAAACCACATTACACCCACCACCCAATCACACACCCAAAATTAAACCACACCATAACCCAACCACCCCCACCACTAACACACCCAAATAAACCAATTCCAACCAAACACCCCCCACATACCAACCACAACCCCCCAAATACCCACAAACCCACAACACAATCCCCACACCACACCACCCATATACACCACCCAATACCCACCCCCCCACTATCAACAACAACACACCATAAACCACACCCACTACCCAAAACACACATTCCACAATATATCAACACCCTAACACAAACTACCACACAAACCACCAACCCAAAATACACCACACACCATCCCCAACACTTACACAAACACAACTAACACAAATTACAACACCCACACACCAATTAAAACAATTCCACACAAAAAACAACAACTACATCCCCAAACAAAACCCCCCCTTACCCACATAACCAACCAACAAATACAACTTCCACCCCATTCCACCCCCTAACAACATCCCCACCTCAACCCTCAAAAACAAACCCAAACATCCCACAATCAATAACCCAACACAACATACCCCCACCACCACCCCTCACATCTATCACCCCCCCCCCCAATCCCCCCCCAAACCCTCTATTTCCCACCCCACCCCACCCACCACAACAATAAAAACCCCTCTAACATAATCTATAAACCCAATATACACCACATCCATCCCCAATTCCTCCCCCCACCTCATCTACTCTCTCTAAACTCTAAACCCTCAACCCACACCCCCCCATATTTAATCCCATATCCCCCCCCCCCCCTCTCTCTTATTCTTCCCCACCTTCCCAACCATCCCCCTAACTATTCTTCTTAATCCATTTATCTCATCTCATATACTTTCAAACTCACATACCAACAATCCAATCAACAACCCCCTATACCCCCCTTCCAAAAACTCACCCCTTACAACCTCATATTCTACCCATCCACCTCAAACCCCCCCCCACCTTCCTCCCCCCCCCCCCCCTACCCCAACACCAACCAACAACCCCCCTACCCAACCACACCACCCACATAAACTTACTTCCCCTACACCGTATCTCCACCTCTCCCATCCCTCTCCCTCTCTCTCCCCTCTTCCCCTCACTTTCCCCTCTCATCTCTCCCTCCCTCTCCTTTCCTCCACTCTCTTCTCTCCTCTCTCTCTCTCATTCCCCTTTCTTTTCCTCTCTCTTATCCCCCTCTCTCTTCTCTCTTTCCTCTTTTTCTCTTTTCCCTCTCTCTGTCCCATCTCTCTTTCCCCCCCTCTCCCCCCCCATCCCCCCTCCATACCAACCCCCTATCCTTCCTCCCTCCCTACACCTATCCTTCCTTCAACCCCCCCTACAAAAACCATCACCCCCCACACTAACAACTTACTCCACCATTACCTCAACCCCTCCCCCCCCCCAACCCACCCCCCCCCACTAACTCCAACAACAACTATACTAATACCCCATACCACAACCCTCCAACACATACACCCAATCCAAACAACCCCAATTCCTACCCCCAAAACCACCACCCCAACCCTTCCCTCCTCACTACCCCCATATACCCACTATCCCATTTCCCATACCTCACAACCCCAACTACACACCCCCCCTCCATCCCCCCCTCCCCACACCCCATTACCCCACACCCCCACACTTAAACTTTACCCACCACAACCACCCCCCACCATACACCATCAACCCCCCCTACCCCACTCCCC